ATGTGGCTCAAGCGGTAGCGCGCTCGCCTGGCATGCGTGCGGCCCAGGTTTGATCCTCAGCACCACATACAAAGAAAGATGTGTCTGCCGAAAACTAAAAAATAAATATTAAAATTCTCTCTCTCTTATCTCTCTCTCTCTCTTTCTCTCTCTCTCAAAAAAAGTATCAGTTCTGAGCAACGTTTAATTATATAAAAAAAAAATATCTACCTTGGCTAGGTGCAGTGGTGTATGCCTGTAATCCCAGCAGCTCTGAAGGCTGAGGCAGGAGGATTGCAAGTTCAAAGCTAGCCTCAGCAATTTAGTGAGGCCTGAAGCAACTTAGTGATATGTCTCAAAGTAAAAAAAAAATTTTTTGGTGGGGCTGGAGATGTGGCTTAGTGGTTAAGCGCCACCCTGGATTCAGTCCCTGATATAAAAAGAAAAAAATCTACATCAGATGGTTATCTTGGTGTTCAAATGATATTATTTATGTGAAGAGGTATTTTTATTTTTTTGTACTTGAGATTGAACTTTACCACTGAGCCTCATTGCCAGCTCTTTTATATTTTGGGACAGGTTCTCACTAAATTGAGTAGTGCCTTGCTAATTTGCTGAGTCACCTCAATTTGCAATCTTCCTACCTCCTGAGTCACTGCACCTGGCTCTAATTTATGTTTTTATTTTTCAGTACTAGAGATTGAACCCAGTATGTCATGTATGTCAGGTAAGCACTTAACCACTGAGTCACATCTCGACCCATAACATACTAATTTAAAATGCTTAGTGTGAGGCCAGGTGCAGTGGCACATTCCTGTAATTCCAGTGGTTTGGGAGACTGAGGCAGGAAGAGTTCAAAGCCAGAGCGTAAGTAACTTAATGAGGCCCCAAGCAACTTCGTGAGACCCTGCCTCAAAAAAGAAGGGCTGGGGATGTGAATCCCCTAGGTTTGATCCCTAGCACCAAAAATAAATAAATAAATAAGGTTTCACCTGGGAGCTGAGGGATTAGCTCAGTGGTAAAGCCTTTGCCCAGCATGGATGAGGACCTAGGTTCCATCTCCAGCATTGGGGGGAAAAATTAGAGCAACATCTCACGGCTACATGCATAGCCCTGGCATCTTTATTTTTTTATTTTTTTAAAGAGAGAGTGAGAGAGGAGAGAGAGAGAGAGAATTTTTTTAATATTTATTTTTTAGTTCTCGGCGAGACACAACATCTTTGTTGGTATGTGGTGCTGAGGATCGAACCCGGGCCGCACGCATGCCAGGCCAGCGTGCTACCGCTTGAGCCACATCCCCAGCCCAGCCCTGGCATCTTTAATATTTGAAAATCATTGCTTCAGAATATGTCAGAATTCTGGAACTGGAAACGTCCTCAATAGGTTCAAGAGTCTAGCTCCTCTTAGGGCCAATTATGGATTTTGCTCCCCACAGGAGCCATATCCATGATTTTCACTTGGAGAATTACCCTCCCATATTGCACAGGGATTTTTGGAATTGTCAATCAAGATGGACCACCCTTTCCTAGGCACCAGGTCAGGTCAATCAGACTGCTGGGAAGAGGAATTCTAAATGGTCCAGTACAAGGACTGAAGAGGTTGAAGCTGACTTATCCCTGTGGCCTTGCTGTAAAGTCATTGTCCATTGGTTTTTGCCACTTGGCTTCTCTAGCACCCCTTAGGCTTTCCTATGAGATCTCCAAACCTGTCCTGTAGATAACCTCTCACCTTCCCCACAACCTTACACTAACCAAAATACTTTGATTTAATCCTCACTTTATAAACAGGAATTGATATCACTGAAAGTGACTTGTTAAAGGCCACACTGTGAAAACTGGGTACAAATTTAAGGCTGGAAGAAATGATTATGAATCAATAGTCATAAAGGTAAAGCAAAGCTTTCCAGGACAGAGTTCACCCTGTGTATGAAAGAGGAGGCCAGTGCTCGATGCTAGAGTACTTGCCCAGCTCTAGCGTGCGTGTAACGGGGAGGGGATGGTGAAAGGATGAATAATGATGTTGATCCTTCTAACAATGGAACTGTAACTCATCAAAGTAGGCAGAGTTTTGCAGAGGCCCAGAACCATGCTCTCAGGACCCTAAGATTTGATGAGAAATTCTGAAAAGGTACAAGAATCCCAGGATCTCAAACAGTATGGAAACTTGGGCAGGTAAACACTAAACAAGGGATCTGAGTCAAAAGAAGCAAGAGTCTGAAGGAAGAAATCATACTAACAATTGCTTTAATCTTTAGCAAGGGCCAATGGTCATGGGCCACTGGACCATAGCTCTATAGGGAAAGCATCCATGTTTGATTTCTTCCACAGTATTTATAGCACCTGGTACACAGTAGGTCCCTGTACACAGTAAATAATGAATGGATGGATTAGTTCTGTTTGAGGCTGTCTGTATCCAGCAGCTAAATGGCTTTGTTACTAATGCACTCAATCTTTAGCTTTGCCTCCCCAACCTCACCCTGGGGGCCAAATGAGGCCTGGCTGGTGAACAGTGTCTGGAAAACACAGGAGCAGTTGCTGCAATATGCTCCCAATATTCTTATTATTGATGACATTTACTCAGCAACAGCTGTGGTACAAAGGACAAAAGAGTCTTGCCCTGTGGGCTTACAGCCTAAATGACAGAAAACAAAATAAGCAACTGGCAGCTTCTATGTGCGAGTGTGCATGGTTGTTGTGTTAGGCACAGAAAAACAACAACATACCTTGGATTTATAATGAGAACAGCAGGAATGATTATTTTCCTCCCTTTATACACAAGTAAATGGAAGCTCAAAAAGACACGAAGACTTGCCCAGTGTGCAGTTGTCTTGCCTAGCCTGGAGAGTACCCATCTTCTCTTCTGGGATCTGTCCAGTAGTTACCACTCCAAGACAGGGTCTGTTGGAGAGAGGTACTTGGCTCATTTTTTCCATATTAGCTATGTCACTACAGGCAAGATTTGGGTCTCCAGCTGGGAAAAAGTTTGGGACAAGAAGGGAATTTTCAATAATGAAAGAGGAAAAATTAAGTGGACAAGAGGGTCAGAGTAGGTGGTCCCACTTATGTTGCCCCTGAGCCTCTCTGTCCTCAGAGATCTGTGGTGATTAGTCAGCAGTGAGGTAAGGGATTCATGTTTTCTTGTCTCATGGCCTCTCTCTAGATTTTTTTACAGCACTGGCCCTTTTCAATGTTAGCTTCTATTACCACCATTGGGGAATGGCTCTGGCTGTTAAGGGCCATTGACAAGTGGTATCTTCTCAGCTCTTCTCCCTACTGGCAGGGTTCCCTCCAACCACGCAGAACAAGTAGCTGATGTCAGCTGGAACCCTTCTTCCCAAGGATCTGGGAATTTCCATGTCACACTGCACCCTGGCTGGCACTTCCTTACAGACACTGCTCCTTCCTCTGACCCCTCATTCCTCAAAGCAGTATCTAGGTGCTTCCCCTCTCAGGGAGTGCTGCTGTTGGGGTAAACATAATCAGTGCCTAGGAATGAAGGACTTTAAACAGTGCTAAAAGGAAGGAAATGGAGAAGGGAAACTGGGCACTCCCCTTGTCTCCAATCTTTAGGTGAGGATCAAAGCAGAGTGACCTTGGTTGTAATGTACTCTTAGGGGCTGAGGTTGTGATTCAGACATAGAACACTTGCCTCAAATGTGTGAGGCACTGGGTTCAAGTCTCAGCACCAAATAAAAATTTAAAAAAATAGATATTGTGTACACCTATAATTAAAAAATAAATATATATTTTTTAAAAAAGAATGTACTTATAAAACATCTGAAGAAATCCATCTGCGCAGTGGGCAGGCAACCATATTATATATTCTCCTTGCTTGTAGCCTGCTGCAGCCCTCTATTTTATCCTGTCCTGCTTTCCACCCTCCCCAGTACGTGAGTAATAAAATCCAAACCCTCTCAGATGCTGCTGCTGTTGGAGTAAGGAGAAAAGTTATTATTATTATTATTATTATTTTGATTTGAAAACAGTACCCCGGAGCCTATGCAGTCCTGAGGTTGAAAGCTGCACCTCAGTTTCTCACATTCTTGCATTTGTGGAATTTCAGGGAACAGCTTGCAATATTTTTGGCAACAGCACTTTGATAATTGAGCACAATGATTGCTGAATACACACTAAGCTCAGGCCCACTGCCTCCAAACTTGCTGATAACAGCTAGGGTGGGGAGTGAGGAGGAGGTCCTTTTTTGGGAGGTTGAGGGTACCAGGAATGGAACCCAGGGGCGCTTAACCACTGAGCCCCATCCCCAGGCCTTTTCATGTTTTGAGACATGGCCTCGCTGAATTGCTTAGGACCTCACTAAGTTGCTGAGGCTGGCTTTGAATTTGCAGTCCTCCTGCCTTAGCCTTCGAGGTAGCTGGGATTACATGCGTGCACCAACACGCCCAGCGAGATCCCTAAATCCTTGCTCTCTCGGCCTCCAGAGTTAAAAATGCCTGGGGATCAACATCAATGTTCATTTAGCTTTGGGTGGAAGAAAGCTCTTCCCAGCTCCCAATACCTTGTGGGAGAAAGCTAGAGAGAGGAGTGGGCTCCAGTGGCACCTTTGGGAGCCTCCTAAGCCTCTAAGGTCCTCAGCCCTGAGCCTTGGCTTTGAAACCACAGCAAACATCCAGTCACAGTCAGCCGACCATCTTTGTCCGAAATTCTGCGAACCAACAGCCCAGTGAGACTGCATGGAATTCTAACATTTCTTATATTCTTTGCGGGGGGTGGTTGAAAAGAGAGGAAGAAGGCACTGAGGAGAGCTTCTTAGAACTAGAAAAGGTGAAAGACTGAAAGGGGGCTCCTTGATAGCTCTCTTCTGCCAGCCCGGTCTGCACTCCCTCGGTGTTCCCAGTGCTCAGAGGTAGGGCGGAGAAGCGAGTGCAGCAGAGGGCCGAGCTAACTGGGCTTTCCCACCCCAGGAAAGTAGCGCTTGCACATTCAGCGGGACTTCCCGCCGCGTGGGAGGATCGATCAAGGGACAGCGAGCTTTCTGGTTCTTTAAAGAAACAGCAACACAACTTCGAGCAGCCGACAAAAGCTATATTCAGATTTTAGCGTGAAGTCCCGCCCCCTGACAACCCTGGCCCAATCCCAACAGCTACGCCCACACTAGTCCCAGAAGGATACACTTTATTAGAGTGCCCCGCCCTTGAAGCCCCCCCACTCCCGGAAGCCCCACCCAATCCACGCCCCGGAGGCCCCGCCCTTCCCCTCCTGCAGCCGCGAGTGGACGCTCTCAGCAGTTGCGGTTGAGTACGCGACAGGAGCAGACGCTGCCGAAGAAGCGGCACACGCAGGAGGCGCACGGGTCGCAGCAGGGTGGCGACGGCGACTTGCAGCTGTCGCGGGTGGCCACGCAGGGTGTGGGCGGAGGGGGCCGGGGCCGCGCTACCTTCTTCATCGGAGCCTTTTTCTGTAGGGGAAATGCCGGGCTGCTGGAACTGGCCATGCCTGCCGTGCTTATCGTCTCGGCCTGAAAATTCGGGGCTATGAAGCCTCGGGGCCAGACACCCCCGCCACCGCCACGCTTCCACCGACCGCCCTACTCACGCTCACAGGGCACCGCAGCTGGTCCCTGCTCGTTCCCCCAATCAGGTCACCCCTTCTGTCTCTGGATCCCTGTCCAGACTTACCTGGCTTTGGCCTGGCCTTTTTCTCCCCTGAGAGGACCCTACACAGCTCCATCGTTTTAAACCAGTTCATCCACAGTCCCTTTCCCTCTCCACAGTTGTTGTCTTCACAGTAGATCCGGAGTTCCCCCACTTCTCTCTCACGGCGGATACCCAGGGCGGCCACTATCTTCTCCCCGCTGTCGTTTTGGCCCCTTACAGTCCATCCTTCAGGGAACTGAAGGAACCTTGTGGAAGACCTAAGATCTCATCCCACCCCGGCTTAAAGCCTTCTGTTAGTTTCTTCTTGCATTTCGAATGAACTCAGGGCTTTAGTTATGCTAGACAAGCATTCTGCCTCTGACCTACAACCCCTGCTTTTTTATTTTTATTTTGAGGTGAAGTCTCCTCAATTTGCCTTCCTCCTGCCTCATCTTCATTAGTATCTGGGATTACAGGTGTGTGCCCAGCACTCCCCTTTGGCCTCAGACCTCTGACTACAGGGCAAATGAATTTTTGCTGTGGGATCTTTGAACTTGCTACTTTCTAGCCTGGAGTCATTTTTTGCTGGCTATCCAGTACAAGTAGCCACAGCCACATGTGGCTACTCAGTACTGAAATGTGTCTAATGCTACTGAGGAACTTAATTTTCTATTAAACTTTTTTTTTAAGTACTGGGGATAAAACCCAGGGTCATTCTACCACTGAATCACACCCCCAGTCTTTATTTTTGGCATTTGGCACTTTACCACTGCACTACATCCCCAGTCCTTTTTTTATTTTTTATTTTGAGACAGGGCCTAGCAAAGCTGCTGAGGATCTTGCTAAATTGCCAAAGCTGGCCTCTGATTTACGATCCTCTTGCCTCAGCCTTTTGAATCACTGGTATTACAGACGTGTGTCCCCACCCCTGGCTATTTAATTTTAATTAATTTAAAAACGGAAGCATTGTAAAACTTTTTTTTTTTTTGCCATTAAACACAAGTTTATTTTATCAGGACCACATTTTACTTTGTTGAAGATTTAGCTTTGAATTTGAGATGTGCTGTATCAGCTATACTATACACCAGATTTCAAAGACTTAGCATAAAAAATGAATATTTCAGTAACTTACAATTGATTGCATTTTGAAATGTTAATATTTTAAATACGATGGGCTGTTATTAAATTAATTGCAGCTTTTTCTTCTTTTTTCTAATGTGGCTATCAGAGAATTTATACTTCTATATATGGCCCACATTGTTCATTAGACATTGCTGCTCTAGGTTAATGAGTTTTTATTTCAGTGCTCTTTAGGCCTTTTTTGACTAGTCTTCCCTTCATTTTCTTTCATCATTGTGCATTAATTTCTTCACAGCCTTTATCGTCTGAATTTATTTTACCTCTATTTACTTGCTGTTCACTTGTTTCCCCACAAAAATGTAACTTTCGTGAGAGCAGGGATATTTCTTTTTGGTTCATTGAATATTCCTAGTACCTAGCATGTAAATATATTAGTCCATTATATATTGTCTGTCAGTCATCTGACCTGCTCATTCCTCTAGAGCCATCAAAACAGGACCAGAGAAGCAGAGACTTTCTCAAGATCACACAGTATGCCAGATTCTACCTCTCTATACCTAGTCCACTGGTTCTGCTGTGGTTTCAGTTGATCTGATAAATGGAGGCACATTAAAACAGGAATAATGTGTACATCCAGTGTTTCCCAAAGTGTGGGGACCTGTATTATGGTGCAATGATTTGACGTGCTACATGAATATTAAATGACCCTGAATCATACAATGAGAAAGGATTCTTTTAAATATCTCAACTTGAAAGACTCAGTTTGGTGCTAATATGTCCTTAATGTTTCTTTAACACTATCTGCTTTTTTAAACACACAGATCAGGCTTCAGATTTAGAGCATTTAGTAGACAGTACCATCCAGTGAGACTTCACTAACAATATTTTATTTTCACTTATTTTTCTATTAATAGTGATACTGGTTTTCTATTATCTTTCTGTATTTTTAAAAGTTTTGATTTGAAATAAGTAGTTAAAACTCAGATATGGCAAAGGTTGTGGAAGTGATTCTGAAATAACCCCTTGGAAAAGACGGAGCAATAGTGAATTTTCAGACAAGGGGCTAAATCAGCATCAGAAGATGCTTTTCAGTAGGTAAGCAATTTTGCTCAGTAAACTTCATCTCCCTGGGCTTCTGTGGGGGGAGGGGGGCCTGAGCACTCTACGCCAGGTATCCTTTATGTTAGGTAGCTTTCAGTTCTTTGGTTAATGTAGGCCTTGAAAATGTTTTATTTCATTTTTAACCACAGCTTAGGGGTCCTTCCCTTTTAAGTCTGATCCACCCTCCCCTACAATGAAAACTCTCAGGCCTACCTTGGAAGATCTTGTCCTCTTTTCTGCTTCTGTTCTGCTGATCTTTTGGGATTTCTTGTTCAGTGCTTCAAAGAGAGACAGAAGGAACAAAGCCAGATGTTTCCCGGGACCCTTTTACAGCAGTAAAATGGAAGGAGCTGAGGGCCTCAGAGGGTAGTGGGGGGAGGGGAAGGGGTTGGCCTTGGCTGGATGAATCACATCATGGGACTCAGCAGCAGGTTCTTGTTAGCCTGGCTGCTAACCTGGAGCCAGGAACTGAGGGCAGTGAACTCTGAGGAAGGCAAACAGGAAATCTGAGGAGGCCCTGGGATCTGCCTGTAATATCCATGAGAGGCCTGGTCTTTAGACCTTTTTAGCCCTCACCACTCAGTTACCTCAGGTGCTTCTTTAGTCTTTAACCTGGCAGGTGAAAGATATTGTTATCCCCTGAAAATGGGATAATGGGATATCAATACCTGGATACAACTGTGTTACTACTTTCTATTTCTCAGAGTTTGGAGCCAGGCAGATCTCATTTAAATTCTAATTCTGTCATATAACAGCCATAGAACCTGCCATGCAACAGGTGAGGTTACCTCATTAACCTCCTTGAGACTCAGTTTTCTCATCTGCGAAAGGGTTCTATATTACCTATCTTGCAGGGATAAATGAGTGTGTTTATAAAGTGAAGTTTGCTGTATCAAAGATAATCAGTCAATGTTGGTGTTGCCTCCCTTCCCTGCCCTTATTCCCCTGATATGTTTAGAATATCCTCTTTTCCTAGGGAGAGACAAAGGCAATAAAGAGATATTAGTTTTGAGCTTTAACATTTCATCTGCATTTGAATTCTGGCTCTGCCAATTAAGAACTTTCTGATCTTATGCTAGTTATTTAACTTTTCTAAGCCTCAATTTCCTCAATTGTGATATATAAATAAAAACAGCCCCCACCTCATAGTACATCACTTATTATTTTGGTTAGGATGGAGCCTGGGGCCTTGCATGTGCTATGCACACACTCTACCACTGAGTTGCTCCCCAAGCCCATGTCTACTATCATCAGATGAAGTCAAACCAGATCTCTAATGCCAGGTTCTAATGCCCCTCATATTTTCCCCTGGGCAGCAATTCTAAACCTTGCCATGGCAGGACTAGTTTATCCCAGACTTGGTTATATTCTCCAGCATTTCCTAAAATTTGTTACCATTGATAGGAGTCCTGGGATTCATTAACTTTCAGAAATGCTGTTAGAACAAAGTTCACCAAGCAACTTGACTTCAGGGTTTCTCAGAGTTTCTAACATGCTAAGCTGCATTTTAGATTGGTTGCATGCAGGGCTTTCCCAAACCCAAGGAATTAAAGGATACTTTGTTCCCCTAGGACTGTTTTACAGGATGAGCAAGAAGGACCCATGACTATGGTAGTGAATTTTGGTAACAACTTGGGAACTAGGCTTGACATCTTGAAGCCCCCTTTTATTGGCCAGATACCAGAGGCTGGACGCCTGGCTACTTACCCACAATAGAGACAGAAGGGATATCCAGTACTTTCATTGAGGAGTTGCTCCTTAGGCTCCCGTCATCTCTGGGCTCCTCCTCAGGTGCCAGATGACTGTAAGCAGCGAGGATGCATAGGAAGACCAGTAGGGTGGCCAGAAGTAGGCGGGTGATATCCATCCCAAGAGGCCTGAGTGGGACAGAGAAAGTGCTTGGCAGCAGGTGGGTCAGGGGTAGTGGCAAGAGAATGTGCTTGCCTGCTTTCTTTGTGTTCCTTTGGGCTGGCGTTGTTCTGCCTGTTCCACAAGTGTCCCAGTAGAGCAGAGGACTAGTAAAGGCTTAGGAGAGGGAACGGGAATTGATGTAGGAAGAAGAGAGAACAGGGGATGGGGAGAGGAAGAGAAAGACGAAGGAAGGAAGGGAGGGAGATCGAAGCAAAGAGAAAAGGAATGCATTGTGTTGGTTTCTGCTATCCAGAGGGCGGAGTACTGTTTCTGTTTTATTATTATTTTTTTAAAGTCAATAGTCCCAAGAGTCCCTAGGCCTGGGTTGAGTTGTTGAAAGTCCTGCAGTAGTGCCTCACTGTGGCCGAGGTTTTACTAAGGTGCAGAGAATAATAAGATAGTTCACAATGCAGGGATAAATGGCTCCTTCAGACAAGTAAGTGTATTAGATTCCCACATGCAGAGGAAATGAATGCAGGTACAGTTTGTCAGAAGAATGAGCCCATCTACATAAGGTAACTGGATTTATTTATTTGCTAGCTGAATTTTGAAGGAGGCAGATAAATCTCAGAGAGGATTTCTTCATTTAATGCTGGGTTTTGCTTAAACATCTTCAAAGAGCTTCAGCAGCATCTTTACTTCCTCCAAGTATGGAACCCCCTACCCCAACCCCTGCCAACACCCTTCTCTAGTTCTCTGTTTTCATTCTTGTCTATAAAACGATTGGAACTGCTTTTCCAAGGTTCCCTCCATCCTAGCCATAAGCCACTGTGGGAGAGAAGAGAACAAAACACTTCGTTCATGCTGGTCCTACCCACCCCTGGGCAAAGCAGCCAGGCCAGGTTCTAGCCTACTTCTCCTGGCCCTCAGCTTGGATGGAGTCAAATTTTCTGTATGTCTGTTACCTTGCAGGAGAAAACCCAACCAGCCACCTGCACCCTCATTCCAAGTTTTTTGAAGTTGGAAGGGACAGTCCTGACTTTTTGAAGTTCATCCTTTACCCTTCTCAGCCCTAATTTCAGTTCTGATTTCTTCAGATTCTCTCATCATTGGGCACTGATTATCATAATCTATTTGTCACTAGCAAATTTTCCTCAGGGTCTAAGTCTTAAAATATCTTTCTTAAAGCCTAGTAAGTTGATGGAATGGGCATTAGCCGGACAGTCAGGACCACTGAGTTCTTATCTTTGCTTAGTTGTTAATAAGATGCATGACTTGGGCAAACTGGTTCTGTTTTATGAGCTCCAATTCTCTTGGTAAAATGAACACATTGGGCTAGATCAGTGGTTTGTATTCATTTATCGGAGGAACTCTTTTTTCAAAAAACTTTACTTAGGTCCTAAACAATTTATTGAGATCCTGTCTCAAAGAAAATATAAAGGTGGGTGCCATGGTGCAAACCTGCAATCCCAGTTCATATCAGAAGAATGAGTCCATCTACATAAGATAACTGGATTTATTTATTTGCTAGCTGAATTTTGAAGGAGACAGATAAATCTCAGGAGGCTGAGGCAGGAGGATCACAAGTTCAAAATCACCCTTAGAAACTTAGCAGAGCCTTAAACAACTTAGCAAGACCCTGTCTCAAAATAAGTAAAAATAAAGTATAAAAATGGCTGACGAAGTGATTCAGTGATTGAGTGTCCCTGCATTCAATTCCGGTACCAAAAAAACAAACCAAAAAACCAACCCATCAACTTAAACAAAACAAAACATTGGCATGGAGAATCTCATATGTACAACAGTAAGAGGCAATAAAGGTGTTTTCAGGCAGTCCATACCTTTGTTGTGTGTGAGAACAACACATTTCCTCAGGGTCTAAGTCCAAAAATATCTTCTGAGGCCCTGTGTTTTCCAGCTCTGTGCAGTTTGATCTTTGAGGTTTTTAGCCCCTAATAATAATAATAAAATCTAATAAACCTATATAAAAAAAGTCTCGGGACTGGAGTGTAGTTATTTGCTCCATCTTCTACTTCTTAAAGGTTGTTTTTTCCTAGAACAAAGTCCTCATCATATTGTTTATGTGTTCATCTCTTTTATTTGATAAAAAAAAAAAGAGTTCATGTTCTACTCATTTTTGTGACCCCAATTGACACAGTGACCAGCCCAGGGCAGTAACTCCAAATGTTGGCTGAATAAATGTTTGTGTACTGAACTAAGCTCCTCATTTTCCCTACTTACCAACACAAAAATATTTTTTCAGCCGGGCGCAGTGGCGCACGCCTGCAATCCCAGCGGCTCTGGAGGCTGAGACAGGCGGATCGTGAGTTCAGAGCCAGGCTCTGAACTTAGAAAGGCACTTAACAACTCAGCAAGACTCTGTCTCTAAATAAAATATTAAAAAGGAATGGGGATGTAACTCAGTGGTTAAGTACCCCTGGGTTTAATCCTCAGTACCAAAAAAAAAAAAAGTTGTCTCCTTAGCATCAGCTATTATCTTTCCCCTTAAGAGGAAGTCTTAGATACACATTTTGAATTGACAGTGACCTAACCCCTATCTCCAGGTAAGCTCTTGATTTCTCCATGACAAGTAGGATAATCCTGTCCCATCCTCTCCAGTTCAGACATGGCATCTGACTAGAGATGGTCTAATCAGAGGAAGCCCAGGCCTTTATCTGACGGAGGAAACCCTCTTTCACTGGGTATGTAATATACAGCCAGCAGTTCTGGTTAGTGCTAGCAGTCACTTTACAAATAGAGCCAGTTTTAGGATGAAGCTCTCCATGGAAGATGGCCTGGGCAGATAGTGAAAAAGAACCTCGGTAAACTATTCAACCACTGGATCAGAACTTGCCCGAAGATCATCTATATCTGGATTTAACAGATTAGGCAATTATTATCCTTTACTGTTTTAGGATAGTATGAGTTGAGTTTTCTTTGACTCTCAGCCCAAGGCATCCTAAAGGATACCTTCCTTTGCAAATTGCAGTGGAGTTGCATCTTACCAAATGGTTTAGGACTAAAGTCAGACTTCAGGGAAAAAAACTGCACAGAGTACAAATTTTCTCCAGAACGGCAAATGATGGCTCTTCTCCCCACAACTGAGGCCTTTTCTTTCTCTTCTCTTTCTCCTCCTATTCCTTTCATTTTGCAGCAGAATAAGTAGTTGGCTTACTTTTAAAAATTTTGTTGCATGAAAAAAATTTTTTTCTTTGAACATTAGGATCATGATGTGCACATAGCAGAAGACTTTCACCCTGTGACAGGAACTGAGACTCGTTGACGGCATAGCAGATCTCAGTTCCTAGTTCTCCTCACCCCAGAGCAGATACTGTCCAGATGAAATGTTGAGCAGAATCACCTGCATTATTTAAGTTACTCCTCTCCTGGCTTTACTCATTCACAAAATACATATAGTTGACTTTGCAGATGTTAAATATATGCATGATCTGGCTCCATTATATGTTCTATCTTTGTTCAGTGACTATCTCTTCCCAAGGAAAGAATCTTGGTCTCCATCTTTGACTTACATTTTCCTGACCTTTATAAATCCTGTCACCAAGTTTAACTTTTTGTTCCCTTCAAATTATTCCTAATTTTCTATTTTCTGCCACCCCAGTTCATTGCTCATTCTCAGTGGAACAAGTTTCACACCACTCCATCTCTTTGCTTTTGCTCTGGCTTCATTAATATCCACTCTCTCAGCTGCCCAGGTCATATCTCATCCTTCTCCAGGGCCCAGTTGGAATAGTATATTCAGTGTATTTTCTCTTTCAGCACCAGGACATTCCAAATAGTGCTCCCCTTTCCTAAACTCCTCCAATCTTAAACTCAATACTGTATTGTTTAGTACTTTATTGTTCTTTAATTGTTCATGTGGATTATTCTCATCAGTTAGACACAGGAGAACTGTGCCCCTGAAAGAATACAGGCCCTGTGGTTAGATATACGTGACTTTACTACTTACAAGCTATGTGAGGGTATAGGGGAGAGAGAGATCCCCTCGACCCCCTCTTAGTTATTATGTGGGCTCTTTGGCTGGATCTAGGAACCCATTTAATACAAAACTGATTAACAAGAGAAAAGCATAACGATTTTATTAAATTTACATTACGTGGGGATCTTCACAAGAAAGTGAAGTCCAAAGAAACGCCTAAAGCATGATGCTTTTATACTTCTTAAACAAAGAACAATAAATTTGTGAAGTAATGACAGGACAAATGGCTCTATGGACTGGGAGGTAAATTTTGGGGATGTATGGGGTAGGGTAAAAAAGCTAATGGAAGATAAGGGTTACTTCATAGTTTGTTTATTCAGGTTAATTTCCCCCCCCTTGAATCACTCTCTGGTGTCCAAGGCTATTTTCTGGCCTTGGTACGTGAAGGGCATCATTTCACAAAGAATCTCTATGGCTTGCTGCATGTAAGAAAAGACAGATCAAATAGCCCT